CACGCAAAGCGCTCCGTGCGGGAAACCCCGCCGCTCCGCGCCCTCTGGCGACTGCAGCGCGAACCGCAGCCTAACGGCGTGGGTGGGAGCCCGAAGGATGAGAGGCGGGGCGGGTCTTACATACACCTGTGGGCTGAAGGATCCCTGCAGGAGTCAGATTCCCAGTTATTCATTGACGCAGCCCTCATTTCATTAATTTATGCATTCGTTCATTCACTTACTTGTCAAGCATTTACTGAGAGCTATCAATGGCCCGATGTTTTTCTAGGGCTGTGGATATGGCAGGGAGCAGAACAAAGTCCCTGCTCCCTTGCTTCTTACACTCTGGGGGTAAAAATTCAGACCTTGAACAGGCTAGGCCTCCGCTCACAACACGTCCATGCCTCGCTATCTCGCCCCGCATGAAAGACTGTCTCAGGGCCTGCCTGCAGGACCCATGAGAAATGGGCCAGTTCCTCCATCTCATCTAGGGATCCGCTAGCTTCCTTTGCTCCAGGCGCCTTGCCCTCCTTGCTGTTCCTGGAACTTGCCAGGTATGGTGCATTTGCCTCAGGGCCGTTGCATTAGCTGCTTCTGTGCCTGGAGCACCTTTCCCTTACCGATGGGCAAGGCGCTCTCTCCGCTTTCTTTGGGGCTCTGCTCCAAGGCCACCTTCTCAGTCACAAACCTGTCTTCTGGGTCCTCAGCTTCTTTGCCATCTTGCCTCTTGCTTCTTGCCACTGTTAGGTACAGTAAGTTCCTCTCCAAAGAGTGGGCTTGTTCAGCTTACTTGTTCTTTGTTCTCTATTTTCAAAGCCTAACTCCCTCGTTCTTTGTACCTCCTTACCCCTAGTTAGGGTAAACAACCTTCCCGCGGGTCCTAATCTATAACCCACATCTGTTCCCTTGGATACCCTCGCTACAATTGCCAGTGCTATGGAAACTCTTCTTCCCGCCGAAACCGGTTGCCCTACCACTGTAGCCCACGTTTCTGCTCCATTTGAACTAGCCAATAGGGATTAGCTTAGATTGTGCAGTCCAGCCCCAGCCAATGGGAACAGGACACAGAAGCAGGGACTAACCGCATTAGGGATAAAAACCCCTTCTCTCTTTTTTTCGGTGTGCCTTCTTGTAGACCAGATGTGCGAGTGGCACCCTTCTGCAGAAGTGAATTGGCTTTGCTGAGAAATCTTTTACTTGAGTGCTCGTTTTCCTTGCGACTTCGAGCTTTAATTTCCAACACCACCATGGGGCACTCTTCCCTTCCTCTTCCTCTGTCGGCCCCTGCTCATTCTTCAGCTCTCAGTTCAGGTGTCCCTTTCTCAAGGGGACCTTGAGAAGGTCCCCAGGCTTAGTCAAAACCCCTCTTAATCAGGTTATGAACAGCACAAAATCCAGTCTTCCTTCAATTGACACAGTAGTTGCTTTCCTGGAAAATGTGGTGTCTTATTAACACTGTTCAAGAAATCCTTTAAGTTTATATGACAAACGAGTTAGGGTTTGGGTTAGGTTGTTAGGAGCGTGGTTGCAGCACACTAGGCCCTGGCAGGAGGCATGGGAGGAGGGTCCTTTCTTTGTGGTGTGAGACTGTCCTTTCTATTGCAAGGCCACCCAGCCCCAGCCCTGGTCCCTAGGCCTTACCCCTTTCATCATTGTGTCAACCCGAAATGCACCCCAAGTTTCCAGGAAATCCAAGAAGCTAGAGGCTCACTCTGGACCTCACGATTGGCAACCAGTAAGGTCTTTCTACCTTGGAAACTGACAATGACTTACGCCAGCTTAAAGATCTGCAGGTGATCAGCTCCTCAAGGTCCAGTTCCCTGGCTGGTATTGGAGCCATTGAAACTCATTGTTGCCCCCCTCTTCATTGTTGTGCCATCAGGGAAAGCTCTTTGTTTGGCCAGAGGGTCCCTGATCCCTCCTCTAGAGGCCTTGAGGGCATCCTTTCCCATAACACCACTGTCGTGGGCATCCGTGTGAAGAGACCACCAAACAGGCTTTGTGTGAGCAATAAAGCTTTTTAATCACCTGGGTGCAGGCGGGCTGAGTCCAAAAAGAGAGTCAGTGAAGGGAGATAAGGGTGGGGCCGTTTTACAGGATTTGGGTAGGCAAAGGAAAATTACAGTCAAAGGGGGGTTGTTCTCTGGTGGGCAGGAGTGGGGGTCACAAATTGCTCAGTGGGGGAGCTTTTTGAGCCAGGATGAGCCAGGAAAAGGACTTTCACAAGGTAATGTCATCACTTAAGGCAAGGACCGGCCATTTTCACTTCTTTTGTGGTGGAATGTCATCAGTTAAGGCGGGGCAGGGCATTTTCACTTCTTTTGTGATTCTTCAGTTACTTCAGGCCATCTGGGCGTATACATGCAAGTCACAGGGGATGCGATGGCTTGACTTGGGCT